AAAAAATATGAATTTCGTCAGTGCATAGCTCAACCTAGGTTGCACTGACCTGAAATGCATGCAGGTGGCAAAGGAAGACAGATTAGTCAGTGTAGAAAACGGGTGGGAAGCGAAGAGGTAAACGGCCTTAGTAACATTTAGGAAGTACGGACTAGCGATAAATCTATTCAACGTTTAACTGATCGAAGACTACATATGGACTTATAAAAGCAACCAATGCTTCAAGAGGTATGAAGTCTGCCTTAATTAGAGAAGGGAGAAAATGGAAAATAAAATTCCAAAAGCATGGGAAGTTCAAAAGGTAATTTATACATATCTTACCCGGAGAATATTGAAGATAAAAACCCGCCCTTTGACTTTTTTTGAGCTTTCTCTAAGAACTCCCTTGCCTTTCTTTCATTATCATCCATTTTTGAGGCCGCAGTGAAGATGAAGGCTCTCCCGCCAACCAAGGAAGCAATGGTTCAAGATAGCTGAAAGTTGGGGACTAGTAGTGTTCCAAGTTTGCGCTTTAAGTACCTATGAGGATAGTGCGAAAAATTACGAATACATACGACATGATAAGAACCATGAATGTTGAAAAAAATACTTTACGAAGGCTTGAGAAATATATTATTGCTAAGCTACAAATGGGAGCATCAACCGGAAACTATTCGAAAAAATAATGTTGGCATTGAGCGAATTGCGTAGCATAACTAAGCCCACCCTTTCAAAAGATCATTGGCCAAATTCATATATCACTACGTGTATCTGTGAAAAATGACTGCATAATTACGAAATAGCTTATGAAGATGATGAGGAAATACATGCTGCAATCAAAATATTTTATGAGAGCATTTAAGGATTTTAAAGCATTCAACGCGATTTCAGCAAAAATCAAACAAGCATGATACACATAAATGGAAATTGCTAGCAATTTATTTCGCTCATTTTCCCATCTACCCGATCTAAGCTGTTATGCAGATTCATAGAATGTCGTCTAGATAGGCTCAATCTTTTTCCTCTCTATTATAGGCAATAA